AACGCTTTTTGGAGAGAGGACCCATCACCGTCGTTGGTTTCTTCTTTTTCGGGAAAAGAAAGCGCCTACAAAAAAAAAGAATGTCTTAATGTAAAATATCATAGAAGCATAATACCAAAAAAAGAAGACGAATAAAACAACGAGTTCAAGTATATATGTACCGCACCCATGCCCATGATATGCGTTCAAAAAGAGAAAGCGAAGAGGGTCAATCGTCATTATCACTGTGAGTCGGCAGGCTGTCAGACATCTTTCTTCTTCACTCTGATTTCGCGATGCCGTGGGAAAAAATAATGGAAATCAACAGATGTAAAGATAAGTAATATTAAAGTTCTCCCACTTTTTGCAGGGATATGAAAGTGAAGGGAAAATTTATGCTCCCATTCTTTCCTCCCTTAAAGAGTCATTACTCGGTATAGGTGTATTTTTGAAAATAATGATGCTCATTCATTATGATTATTTTTTTGAGTCTATTATGTATAATTATCCCACCACGAAGATGAACCAAATGCGCGGATTCATCTCCTTTTTACCCCCTCTCCCCCCCCTCCCCAGCACCTCAACTTTTTCTCCGATGTTGAGGCATAGCGGAGATGATAAACCGAGAGGGATACCGCTTCTATTACTCCTCAGGAACCCCTCAAGGGTCGTTCCCGCGTTGTTCATCCTCAGGGCAATACACCACGCACATCTTAAGTCGCCGCAACACATCCATCAGACCTTTTTCATCATTCAACGGCGGCTGCATCGGCGCGGTGGTCGCCACAGGGGGGGGGGCTGGCAACCTCCTTCCCCGTCAAAGAAGCGTTCGCCTTCACCTCAGGCGGTGGATTCATCGCCGTGGGCTCCCGACGAACCCCCCTGCCTTCCCCGGCCGATCCCGCATTCGATTTCCCGAAGAGATACGAATTAAACCCACTCAGAAACCCCCCACCGCGCGGGGGAACCACCAAAGACTCTTCTTTGGTATTCAAAGATCCCGCTGAGGTCGTCTGGGCGGGATCTGGGCGTAAAAGCGAACGTTCAATCGTGCGATGCGCGGCCTCCATCTCCGCCGTTTCCTTCGCCTTCTTCGCAAAAGCCTCGGCGACGCGTTCTTCCATCCGGGGTTGATCCTGCATATCGGGAAATTTCGGATGCCACCGACGGAGCACATTCGCGGGATCGCAGTCGTAGATCTCCTTTCCAAGGCGTCGATTCACGTCGTTGTGGAGCTCGCAGAGGTAGCGGGTGATCGCGGGTTTGTCGTCGACGAGCGGGGGGTGGGATTGGAGGTAGCGACGCATGTGGTAGCCACACCACTCACACGCGTAGACCTCCGACCAGCTGTAAATGAAATCCCGCATCGCCTTTTGCTGGGCGGGGGTGGGTTGGTAAGGGTAGGTCGCCGCGGCGGTGTGGAGGATATCCCAACCCGCCCTCCCGAGCTCTAATGGGGTGGGGCACGTGCCCGGGATCGTCGTGGGGTGCTTATCATGATGCATGAATGAAAGCAACGGGTTCACTTATACGGAGGGAGAAAGAAAAGAAACCAATAATAATAGTAATGATAATAAAATAATAATTGAGGTGCTTGTCGCTTTTGTGAATTTTTTTTGTGGGTTAACCTTTTAAGCGAGGTGATGATGGTAGAAAGTATGGGGGAGGGTTGTCGATTCCTGTGGTTTAGCCACATCTTGAGTTTGATATTCCTTTTATCAGCCAAGATACTACTTCTGGATTATATTTTGGTCCCTTCATCATCATCATCGGGCACATACTATAAGCTTATTCAGTCATTATATGTGGAACAACACCTTTACGTGTACTGTAGAGAATCTTCATTCCACGCATTTTTTCCCCTTCGCGTTATTTCGTTAATGGAGTGCCTTCATGCGCGCCATGAGCTCCTCGATCGATTCACTGACGGTTTCTACGCGCTCCCCCGCGGAGGACACGACCCCCCCTTCTCCAAGAAGGGTTTCATCGACCTCTGCTTCGCCTCCAGCATAGGCGTACTCCACCGCAGGCTTCGGGCTCCCCCCATCGGTGGATCGCATGGCGTGTGGGTTCTCCGCACCTGTTTCGATCCCCCCCAGCACGGCATGGGAGGGCGCGAGGCTTGCCTTTCCTTGATCTTCCACGGTAATCCCCCATTCCGCCGCGCACGCCTTCGCACGTTCCTTAGCGAGCACTTCTTGTTTCGCCGCGCGCTCATCCCGAGCTTGGCGTGCCGCGTATAATGGATGCGCGGCCTCCCCCATCGCCGCCACCTTCTTCGCATATTCCTGTTGCCGCACGACGCAGAGGTGATTGCGGCATTCCGGGTTCGCTTTGATCGTAATTCGCGGAAAAACATCCTGCATCGCGTCGTAGCCGATGTACTCACTCACGGTGCCGAAGTTGAGGAGGAATTTCAGGGTGTTTTGCGCAAGAAACCCCGCGATGATGCCCATTGTGGTGGGCAACGAGGCCGCACAGACGCCCTCGCGTTTCGCTTCGGGAAGCCCCGTCGCGACCACGAGCGGGGGGCAACACTCATAACAGGGCAAGACGCCCGGAAGGAGGAGTTGGATATGCCCGCTCACCGCGTTTTCCGCCACCCCGCTTTCCATCCAAGGAATCCGATGCGTTAAGCACGCCATATTCACCGTCAGCCGCGCCTGAAAGTTATCCACGCAGCAGAGCAGCAAATCCACGGCCCCGCCTGGCTGCATCCCGCCTTTCGTTAAGGCGTTGGAAAAATCCTCCCAATGATCGGCGTGGGTGATGTTGAAGGCATAAGGCACGACGCAGGTATCGGGATTGATCCCTTCCAGCGTCATCTTCGCCGCGTCTACTTTCTTCAACCCTTGTTGTTCAGGGCGGTAGAAGAGTCGATTCATATTCGCCAACTCCACGCTATCGTAATCAAAAAGGAGGATCTTGCCAATCCCACAGCGGGTTAACATTTCTGCAACAACGGAGCCTACCCCACCGGCGCCGATCACCGCAACGGCCTTCGATCGAATCGCTTCGTAATCCTCGACAACCCCCATGCGTTGAAGAGCCATGAGGCGGCTGTAGGGATTATCATCCCGCACAGCAGCGCTGAGCTTCCGAGTAGCACTGAACGCCATTATTGTAGATGCTTTCTGAGATATTCTTTTTTTTTTTGTGGTTGTTTTCGATCCTTAACGTTCTCTTAGATTGCTACTTTTTCTTCTTTCGTGATGGATGGGGATACAACATGCGAGTGATTGTCTTATTCTTTTCGCATCATGAGGGTTCCCCCCCCCCCCCTCTAAGGGTGCGAGAAAGATCCGCAGAGATGACGTGTACTAATGAGAATAGGCAATGATTCGAGAAAGTAATAATCAAAAAAGCAGGTGAATGTCAAGTGATGTGAGCAGTGAAACCTGTAGAGTAGCTACTTCTCGATATGACTCGGTTTACAGTGTCGACGCTTCCTTTTTCTTTTCTTTCCTTTTGATTCAGGACTCCGATTAATGGAAAGATGTTAAGATTTGCCTTTCCGCTACCCAATTGCGATTACCACAGAGGCTTCCGCATTATATTCCTCTCACAAACTCCATCGCTCGGTGGCCCCGCACTCCGACAACGCAGAAGCGCAGTTCTGCAGAAACCGCTGCAACCCCTCATCCTCCTCCATATCAAAAATCCCGATGCGATCATCCAAACCCTGCTCCTCCGCCGTCGCCCGCGCGCGCGCGAAGGATTTGTAATCGAGAGGATATAAATCAGACAACCGTTGCCGCCGCAAGGGACGCTCCCCATCCTCCTCACGAGCGGCCTGGGGTGTCATCACTAAGGGAAAATCCCCACGCGGCGGCGAGGGATCGCGTGGTCGAGGAGGGCGTGAATCCCCGGCTAAGGGGTCGTCTTTGTCGGGTTTCAAGTACTCCCCCGCTCGTCCGGGATCCCCTGATGGATCGTGAAAGCGAGGGCGACTTTCCACAGGAGAAGGGCCGGATGAAAGGCGATCCTCCCCCTCCCGAGGGGGGTGGCTGAGGGCCGTTGTCATCCCCTGCGAAGAAGGGGCCGGCAACGGAGGAGCGACCCCCTCCCCAACGGTGCTCCGTGGTGTTGGGGGTGGCTGAGAAGGCCGGGAAAGCGGAGCGATGTCGAGCGCCGCGACGTACATCTCGAAGGAAACTTGCAACCCTCCGGAAAGATCGCTCGCGAGCGTTTCCGAGGCCACCGGCAGGGATCGAACGCCATCCACGGCCGTCAAAGGAGGGGCTCGGACGTGCACGGGGCACCCCTCCCCTCCGAGGAGGATTTGCAGCGGGAGGCTGAGCTGCCCGGCGAGGTACGCGGCCCGTCGGAGGGGCTCCGTATCGACCTGTTTGGAGGGTAGCGGAATAAAAAGGGGCTCCTCGCCACGGGAGGGTTCGTTCAGGGTATGCGAATCCCCCCCTTTCCCTTCATTCGATCGATTCCCCGCCAGATCAAAGTAGCGGAAGGAGTTAAACACTTGTGGGTAGGCGGAGACGACGGCGGAGCCGCTGCTGCCGACGATATCGCCTTCCGCCGTTTCGTCGTTTGGAAAGCCCGTGGAAGAGGGAAAGGCGGTGGCGGCGGCGCCACGCCCTTTTCCTTTCCGATTTGGATTCCACGACGGGTTTTTCGCATCCCCACGACTTCGGTCCTCCCCACCACCGGCTTCGTAGGCGTGCTCCATCCGACGGATCTCCAGCCGACCATTCATCGGCGACATGATACAACGTGTGGCGGTTGGGGAGAGATAATAGAGCAGCCCCCCCAAGACTTTTGCGTTTCCGCTCAACTCAAAGTGGTAGGCCGCGGGGTCGACCGAAACCCGCGACGGGTTTCGCGATTCGGCGAGAAAGAGGGAATACGTCTTCACCACCCCATTCGACAGGGTGGATTCCCACCTCAGCATACCAGGCCGGATGCTACTTTCTTCTTCCATGGCGTTGTTGAAATGCGTTTCTACGGTGTGAGACCCCCTCTCTCCATCAGGGGCGAC